CTTAGGTAGTGTATTATAAATAAAACCAAGTTGTTAGAATAAATTAATTTATATATTACTTTTTTTAACAAATTTATATGCAAAGTACAATTAAAAAAACAAAAATAAAAATTCAACGTTTTTGCAAAATATAATTATGAATATGAGAATGGTTACTAAAAATATATGCATTAAAATAAAGTTATAAAAGGCAACAAAACAATATTTTTCATAATTAACAATGCATATTAAGATCATTGGGTGATGACGCAGTTGTTGTAGGAATTAGCTCGGTTTGGGCGACGGTGGAGATAACACGACGACCGTCGCAACCAATCTTAACCAATTAAAAACTCAAGTAAATTTGGTGCTGCTTTTATATGCTTTCTTATGAAATTATTTTTGTTTTATGCCCAGTATCCCGCAAACGCTTTCGAGCACGCCACTGGAACAACCAGTTTCTCTGAGGACCTGACAGAAACATTTAGGACCCTAGTAGAAAGCGCGGTACCAGTAATTTTTTCAAACTGTCTTCCCTCCTCTCATTCTACCTCTATGGTGCGCACCTACTTTAAAAATATATACTGTTTCTTTATATGTGTCTGAAATTTTTCTGCTACTTGTACTTTAAATGAATGTGAACTATGAATCATTTTTATAAGTTCGTAAAACTTAACATGATAATTTTTTGTTTAAAGAACTCAGCAAGTGGTAACTTTCGCCTCAATTGGAGTATTTTTAAGCTCCAGTATGGAAGATTGCTTTGGGGTACTTGTTAAGAGCAGCTTAAAAAAAGCTATTTTTTTTTATTACTTCTCATATAGATAACAACTAAACACAAAGTTTCGATTTGGTAATAATATTTTTAAGGCCCAGTCTACAAGGTTGTTTTGGGGGTAGTTTTTAACGGTTTCTTGGAACGGGTTAAAATTTTGCATCAACAATTTTCGTATTGAGAAATAAGCAAATGTCGAGTTTTGACTTGATTGGAGCATTTTTAACCCCCAGTCTGCAAGGTTGTTTTGGGGGTGATTTTTGAGGGTTTCTTGAAATAGGCTGAAATTTTGTAACGATAATCCTCGTATTGAGAAACTAGCAAATGTCAAATTTTGACTTGATTAGAGTATTTTTAAGCCCCAGTCTGCAAGCTTGTTGCGGGGGTAGTTTTTAACGATTTCTCCGAACGGGTTGAAATTTTGTATCAACAATCTTCGTATTGAGAAATTATGAAATATCGAGTTTTGACTTGATTGAACCATTTTAAACCCCCAGTCTGCAAGGTTGTTTTGGGGGTGATTTTTGAGGGTTTCTTCGAATAGGCTGAAATTCTGTATCGATAATCCTCGTATTGAAAAACTAGCGAATATCAAATTTTAACTTGATTAGAGTATTTTTAAGCCCCAGTCTGCAAGGTTGTTTTGGGGGTAGTTTTCACCGATTTCTCCGAACGGGTTCAAATTTTGTATCAACAATCTTCGTATTGAGAAATAAGCAAATATCGAGTTTTGACTTGATTGGAACATTTTTGACCTCCAGTCTGCAAGGTTGTTTTGGGGGTGATTTTTAAGGGTTTCTCCGAACGGCTTGAAATTTTGTACGAACAATCCTCGTATTGAGAAATAAGCGACTGTCAAGTTTTCACTTGATTGGAGTATTTTTAAGCCCCAGTCTGCAAGGTTGTTTTGGGGGTGGTTTTTAAGGGTTTCTTCAAATAGGCTGAAATTTTGTATCGATAATCCCCGTATTGAAAAACTAGCGAATATACAATTTTGATTTGATTGGAGTATTTTTAAGCCCCAGTCTGCAAGGTTGTTTTGGGGGTAGTTTTCACCGATTTCTCCGAACGGGTTCAAATTTTGTATCAACAATCTTCGTATTGAGAAATTAAGAAATATCGAGTTTTGACTTGATTGGAACATTTTTGACCTCCAGTCTGCAAGGTTGTTTTGGGGGTGATTTTTAAGGGTTTCTCCGAACGGCTTGAAATTTTGTACGAACAATTCTCGTATTGAGAAATAAGCGACTGTCGAGTTTTGACTTGATTGGAGTATTTTTAACCCCCAGTCTGCAAGGTTGTTTTGGGGGTGATTTTTGAGGGTTGCTTCGAATAGGCTGAAATTTTGTATCGATAATCCTCGTATCGAGAAACTAGCGAATATCAAATTTTGACTTGATTGGAGTATTTTTAAGCCCCAGTCTGCAAGGTTGTTTTGGGGGTGGTTTTTAAGGGTTTCTCCGAACGGGTTGAAATTTTGTATCAACAATCTTCGTATTGAGAAATAAGCAAATGTCAAGTTTTGACTTGATTGCAGCATTTTTAACCCCCAGTCTGCAAGATAAACTGTGGTCTGCAAATTAGACAGGCCCCTGTTTCAATCACCTGATCACCCCACAGTATCTCATACGCTAGATCCAGTGCTGTCGCGGCGATAGTTTGATTACAAATATATTTTTCTTTTGGACTGTATCAACATAATACATAATATAATATTTCAATATCAAAAATCTGTGGTCCTGTGGTTGAAAAATTAAAAAGGGCATCGAGTATTATTATTTGAAGTAATATAGTAATATAGAAGTAGATTTTTTACTAGCCGTAAAACACACCTTACTTCAACTGGGGGTTTGCAGCCCTGAGATAGAATTCTGCATACTGTTTATTATACTGCTGAAGAATTTCTAACTTGAAAGGATACACAATGACCAGAGTTTGTTGATTTGATGGGAATAAAAAAAGTTCGTATTTGCCGAACTGTTTACATCCTGTTAACCCTGTTAAACAAATTATCTAGAAAATTCAAAAAAAAATTTGGGTGGTGTTTTAAAGTTAAAACGGAACCAACATTTACACTCAAACAACTTGACTTTGTGCCTTCTTTGTCGAGTTGCATTTAAAATCGTGTGTGTGACAGAGGTTTGGTTTCAAAACCTTTTAAGTCTTGCCAAATGTGTAGCAAGTTCATTTTTATAAATACTGTAATCTTTTACTTCTTGTATGAAAAAGGCACAGATTACGGTTACCAGATAGTTCACTAAGCTGTCGGCACTTAGGTGTCCCGAGATTTCAACCGGTATTCACCCTATTACGCATGCTCTATCAAAATTGATTCGCAAGCTTTGAATTCAAAAGCGCGGCGGTCAGAGAAAAATACGGGATGAGGTTCTAAGCGACGAAAAAAACGAACAAAATATTTATTTGCCTTACACAAAATGATTAACATTTCACAATTTCCAGTCAAAAAGAATTGCGGCCACATGCATCGGCACTAAAAAATTTTAGCGCATAAAAAACACGTATTCTCGAATATAGTGCTAACAAGAAAGTGGTGTTACAATTTTCGCATAGTGGATTAATGTAACCTCTTTAACTATACGGCTTAAAGGGTTACCGAAAGTTAGAAGAATTGGAGGGAATAGTTAATGAAATTTTCTGCGCCTGCTTTCTGAACTTTGTTGTTACAGTTTTCTAATCTACTCGTCTTTATAGTGATCTTCGATTTTTGGTGGTTATTTAACACATTTTGTAGAAAGCGCAAACAATTGACAAATAATTTGTCCGTAAATCACTGAAACGAGTTTAAAGGAAAAGAAGGGAAAATGTTTTATTCTCTTATTCATTTTCAAAAGCAGGCATTATAGACAAGATATATTTACTAAACGATACTATAATGCAGTTTAATGCAGGTATAGTCTTTGCCATTTCCATTGAGACACCACTTGTTGATCGTAAATTTGGCAACGTTCATATTCAGACAATTTTCTAACTAAAACCCGTTGTCAATCAACCGAAAACTGTTACCAATTGCAAAATCAACAGGTGGTGTTTCAATAGAAATGGCAAAGATTATAGGTATTTATCTAACTAATTTTCTGATTATTTTAAAACTTAAAAAAAATTCTTTCGTAACCTGAATTATTACATATAACTTTTATTCTTACATCTGCTTCATTGTAAATATTATTTTGCGTGTTAATCTGTTGAGCCAGTTTCACAGAGATTTAAAATTGCTGCACCAGTTTTAGTGTCATACGCCCACAAGTGAACCATCTGGAAAAAAGTGAATTCCTAGGCAGCCAGTAATACACGCGTGTTGTAAATTTCAAATGAAAGTCTATTCAGCGTAAATTCCATGATACACTTTTCAGGCAATAACATAAGTTTTCCTATATATGCACGTACTACTACATTTTAGACCAATTAATAAATGTATTGTTCAATTCATCAATTTCACATTAACATTTGTTTAAACATTCTACATAGAAAGTGAAAACGGTAGACGCCCTGGCGGCATTTTACTATATACCTTTTAGTATTAATCACCATATGCGAATTTCTTTGCCTTGGGTCCAATAAACTTTTAAAAAAAGTTGCAATAATTGGTTTCATTTTTTGTTCCCTTTAATTGAAGTTTAATTTATGTATTCGAGAATTTAAACGTAGGCAAAATTTTAACCACATTCTGACAGTGACATTGGTAGCTGTAATTTAGTCATATGTTTCAGTTCTATTCCCTAGACGCGTGCTACCTTCTGAGAAGACAGTTTTATTTGACCTATGAAGAGTGTAAAGCGTAACGTTTGAGATATTTCCACATTGTCTTGCACTGTTACCATATGACAGGGGTTTCTATACCCCCCATACATTCCGTTTCATCTATTTCTAAATGTCTAAAGTGCAATTTCATAAACAACAGATTTATTTTGTTGTGATCTGTTATGGTAAGTCTTCAAGTCAATACTGCTGGGAAAACTAGCTGCTATCCAAATCTTGGTTATGAATTGTTGACAATTATTCTTCTGACATAGTTTGATCATGACTCCACATTTGAACAAAAACAGAAGACATTAAATATAGGATCAGTATTGAACGTTAAATCTATTAACTAGAATAAAAGACTGTAATTATTAATTACACACAACAGAGTAAACCACAACGCAGAGGTTAATACTTTAGTATAAATATTAGAGATTTGTTAGAATGAGGCTTTTTACACCTTTACCATGGAATTAAAATAATAAACTTTTAGAAATAAAGTTTATTTAATGAGAACATATATAAACACTATTTATTCTGGCATTTCTCCACCTGGAACAAGCTGAAACAAAATATTAAAACTTGTAGGAATCAATAATTTAAAAGTTTTAAATGCAATCTCACATTTTAATTTATTCAAATTAGAAATTTTGAACATGCAAACTGTTTTATGTCCCAATTTTTTGTCTTTTAACTGATCAAATTAGTTTAAAAATTACTGCCTTATAAAGAAAATAAATTAGGCATTAGTAAATCTCGCATCTTAGAAACATGAAAGTGATTTATGCACAACACATGGTTGTTTTATTAATGTGTTGAACTTAAAAGCCCTATATGTATATATTTGGAATTATTTACCATAGTTATGTTATTCCCATTAAGTAATATTTGGTCTAGTTTAGTAATTCTTCTTCCTTCAGGTGTTGTTTCATATTCCGTAACATCCTCAAGCAACATGTTAACAAAATCATCAAACCCTAACAAAGTTCCCACGATTTCTTTATCATTTTTCATAATAATATGTATCCTGGATCCTATGCATTTGTCGACCAGTTCTGAGAACGAGATCAATATAATTACAAACAAATCATTATAACGCCGGTAAACATAACCTTAAATATTAAACGCACCTAATGGTAGAAGAGTCGACGACGAAACAGGCATAGCACTCATCCTAATAAAGCAGTTTAAAACCCTTTTAAAAATTCTTCAACGCCTTCTATTTTTGCTTGTTTTTATCGAATTATACCCTACAAGCAACAATCTTGCATGTTTTGACATCTATATTTATGACAGGTAGAATTTGACAGCCGCTGCTGTTGCTTTCCTCAGCGCAAAAAATTCAAGAACACATGGTATTAGCACCGACTTACGTCAAAGCATGTTTTGGGATCGCGAATTTCAATTTAAATGGTTTAAATTAAAGCCATTTGTCTTTTTTTTATTAGGATATATTATCTAAAAGCTCAGTTGCATATGTTTTTATCATTTTCGTTTCATATGAAAGAATTTTATTTTTCAGCCATGGTGCATATGTTTGAGCTTGGTTCGAACGTGGTGCTTCAGGTCATGCGCCTTGTCTGTTCTCTTCGGTATTTCAGTCGTTTGTCGTTTCCATCAAATGCCGAGATGGGAGTTGAGTGTGTTGTAGTTGTAGCTTTTGTGTTTTTCTAATAAACAGACGTATTTTTAAGTGAAATTGTGTCTAAAATCGTGACAATAATGTTCGTGGACTAAATTTTGGAATATATGGTCAACAGTTTATAATATAAGGTCAGTATACCCTCCGCAATTAAAACAATGGTTTTATTTTGGTATAGCCTATATTTATATTGGTGCTTGAGAGGTTCAAACCCCTACACATTGATTTATTCGTCTTAAATGCGATTATGTGCTATTTTTATTGAGCGACTTAACAGCTCAAGACGTGCACGATTTATTCTTTTAAAATTAAAGATAATTTGAGTTGAATGGTTGCATTATGCTATTTTTATGTTCTTGGATCATTTCTCATGAGTTTTTTTTCTTTTTGTTTATGTACAGTTATCTTGTAAGAGTTCACTTGCCTTGTCCATGCTAGTTAAATCAACATTCGCATTAAAATACCATTATTGCAAACAATAACTTTATTTATTATGGTGGTAATGAGACACTGATTGAGCTTTTGTAGCCGGCACTAGAACAAGAATTTATTATTATAGGTTTTTTCTAAACATTGGGTGGTTTTAAATTGGCATGTTTTTGTCAAAAACGTGTTCTGGTCTGAATCATAATCTATTTTATCGGATGATTAACGGGTAAAAAAAGTCAGACTGTAGGTGGTTTATTGGTGTTAATTCCGAAATTTCATGTGTTTGTGTTTTTAAGGGGTTTTTAGAAATGCTGTGTGAGTTTTGTCTTTCGTCATGAAACATGCTGTCGGTCGTGTTTCACATATTCGTTAAAATTAATGTGTCGTTAACAACACTTCTTCGGCTATTAACAATATCGTTGATTTAAACGAGGTGAAGTTGGATGAGGTACATTGTTGAAGTTTAATTAAAGTACTAGATATACCTACTTATAAAGAAAATTATTTTCATTTTCTGTTTACTTTTTTAAATTGCAGTTGCGGAATCTTTTCTTTTCAGTTTCTTAAGAAAAGAGAACGGTGTGTCATCTCGTAATCTTCTGGAGCTGACAGTCCTATTATATCTGAAGTATAATTTCGGGGGGATATTGTATGTTTTCCTGTTTCTGTTTTACCCTACCGAACACCAACTTTATCGTACTTTTACGGTTGATTTTTCGCTGTCCCTTTTGGTCGGATAAGAATGTGAGCAAATGTTTTCATATGTATTGCTTTCTGTTGAGTTTGGAACTCCGTTGTAAATTTAAGTTACCAAAAGGAAGTATTTCTCCTGGACTCTACAATATTTAAAATTCCTCTACTATTGCACAGGATTTTTTCTTATATTTGGGTGGCTTTGAAGAGTGAACAATTGTACTTCTTAGGCAGGCAATTTCAAGAAATTTTTCGTTTTAACGTAACGCAATGCGTGTCTATAAATGATTCTGGTGTCAAGGGCGACTTTGAAACACCGAGAGATGTACCTCACTAATAATTAACAAAGGAAATTCCCGAGCCACCTTGATACCAGAATCATGTACGAACACTTTTACTTTTATGTCACTCGAGCTTTGCTCAACAAATTTAAATATATTTTTTTTTAGATTTAGAACTACAGACTATCGTTTAAATAGAGCATATTTGCATTTTTCTAGTCGACGTATTTGTGCTTGATAAAATTGCATACCTTATGCATAATTCGTATCTGTTTTAATAGTGTTTAATTAAAGCATTATTATCGAGTTGGAACACTTACATCCTGTACAGTAAATTAATAGGGTTGAAATCGAAATATGACACATTGCTTTATAAAGTATTCAATAGGAAGGTACTGTTGTAAAATCCCCTCGATCAAGATTGTGGTAGCCGACCACGAATAATTAATTACTGTCCCTTTGATCTTTAATATTGAGAGGCCCTGTAAATTTTGAATTCAAGAAGATTTTAATAAATTGTAAAATTATTACATGTATAAATTTAAAATGTAAATATAATACAAACAAAGTAGGGTTCGTGACTAAAAAAAAAGTGTGGTCTTCACTATTATACTATGCCGTTGTCCTCTTAACTTTTTACAGTATCTTTATGGAATTTGTATTTCTCGCCTTATCCAAATTAAAAAAAAAAAATGGTCCAAAGTTATTTAAACATTTAAACAAACTTTAAGCAACTATGGGTGTATAATATTTTGCACATTTTAGACAGAATTTATTTAGCAAAATTTTCGATGACGTTATTAATTTTGGATAAATTTTGAGAATTTGCTATTTTTAGGGAAACCTCAAGCTTTTACAAGATTTCAGGTTAGTTGGTTTTGTAGTTCCAAGTTAATTTGTAATATATAATATTACAACTCTAATTTTTTTTTACAAAAATCTGAACAGGGTTTATTTAACTTTTGAAATGACGTCCCCAAACTGTTGGTTGGGATGATCAGGTAAATTTTTAGTTAATGTTTTACCGTCTGTCTGATAGTCCTAAATTACATCAAAACTTTGTAACAATCTGTCTAACACTTCTTAGAGATTATTGGTTTGATAAAATAGCGAATCGACGACAGAAAGAAGGAAACGAGGGACTACTTTTTCATATTCTAGGTCAGTAATGGGCAAACTTTTTTAGAAGTCGGTCAAAAAACAAAACAAAAACTTTTGGCGGGCCGATTAATTTATTACAAAACGTAATTAAGAGTCAGAAAATAGTATACGTATAGTGAACCAAGAGTTATAAGGTTATATGGCCATCATAAAATCATCCCATTGTGTCGAAGTTAAGTTGTTTACAATAGAAAAGGTTTTAGGGTCGTAAATACCGTGTCCACTGCAGCTCGACCGGCTCTTGTGGTTTCGTTCAGGGGCGGCTTTCACTAAATATGAAAATCCACCACTCCACTATTTCTTTACTACCTGCAGCCGCTGAGGGTTCCGAAATAACCACTCGCTTTGAAAGCCGGCCCTGTTAAATATGAGCAAGAAATGTTTAGAAGATGATTTATTGCCAACCGGTAAGCTTAGTGCGAACCACACAAAGGGGGCATTTATTTGCGGTCAACTACTTTTATGATGGCCATATAACCTTATAGGTCTTGGTTCACTATATTTTGAAAATTCTCTATTACTACTAATGCGATGAATGCTGTGACTGTATTTCTAAAAGTTGATCATAATCTGATTCGAATTGTGATTCTGAAAAGTGAAGTTAAATATGTACTTATTTGTCAGTCTATTGCTAATACAAGTTTTTCGAAGTCTCTTTTTGCAAAACACCTGTTCAATACATGTACGATGGAGCATACTTTAGCACTAACTTTCTGACCGTAAGGTACCAGATTTGGAAAACTTGATTTCGATAAAGACTTGTAAAACTACAATTTAATTCAAGTCATCAAGTCCAGTATCACTAATTCGCTATCCACATTAAAAGGCATGTTGGATGGTTAACATTGTTTAACATTGAAGTTGAAAAGTTCTGTACTACTCTTTTCAAATTTGACCAATTGTCAAGCTATGTTTTTATATTTTTGATATACAGGGTGTTATTGAAAGGTACGTACAACAAAATTGACAGTTGTTCGCGAAGTCTAAGAAGTCTGAAAAACTTATTTTGTGTTATCAAAATTATAAGGGGAAAATTAACCCTTATCCAACCTTTTTAAACGCTACTGAGGGATAAATAGGTAAAATTTATTTATTTTCGTAAATCCTAGCAACTGTAACAATAAAACTTTTGTCAAGACTAAATGTTGATATAGAAACGAAAGATGATCTTTTTATCAGAGGCGTACAACCAATTTGGACATAAATTTTAATAATTTGTATCTCTAAAAGGACAACACTTTTACCTGAACTTTTTTTTACTTTTAGCACCCATACTTCGAGACCAATTGCCGATTTTATTTTGTACGTACCTTTCAATAACACGCTGTATGTATAGTAGATTTCCGGCCAAAAAATACCGTCAGATGACAAGACAGACGGAAACTCGACTGACATTTTCGTTTTTTTGTTAAGCCGTGAAACGTTAAGAAAACATGTAGTTAGGCACGCGGCCAAATAAATTTTTGGTTTGTTTGAATTTGTGAGAAAGCTGTTAAGGATCGGGAACAATTTTAATACCAAATCATAATTTTACATCCTGTTTAAAGCGATAAAACCTTTCATGTAATCTATATACACTCGAAGCATGTTTTCTGTAAACGTAGCTAAAGTTTTTGTTCTTCGAATTTGTTGTAGGCACTTACCATTTGCCCAAATTAGTAGGAGTTTGTCGTGTCGCATAAATTCGTGTCAGATTAAATATATTTCTGTATTTTTACTTCCCGAACGTCCAATTGTCCCTTTGACGAATGATTAATTTCATAAGTTATCTCAAAAATTATATATTAGGAGTACATTTTTTGTAACTGTTTGAGACAACTGTAATATTAGTATTGGTCTTACGTTGACGGTACCTAAATTAATGGTATTTATCTTATCTTCACGAAAAAGTGGGGCAAGATTTTTAAAAATCTTTACCGAAAATTTTGCTCTGAGATGCGAGAAGTAAAATTGTTAAACGCCGCTACTTTTTAAGTAAATGGTAAACAAAGATTTATTATGGAAGTTACTTAAAATTAGACATAAATGAAATAGCTTGTAAACATATAAGACTGTAACGTTTATTACCCCGTAGCACCAAAAACACAAAAAATTAGATGAGTTCCGTTAACCATGTTGGCATTATCCAGACAAAACTAAATGATGTGGAATTACAATTACGCTAATTTATATCCTATCTACCCTACTCTTTCCACTTTCCTGTTTCCCTGACTCCACAAAGGCGTAGAGGGACGACTTCGGGATGGCTCTGTGATCTGGGGTGGGCGTTACAAACCTGTGGTATAACAATTACAGTCTAGATGAAACTATCATATTATTATACAATAGGCGACTGACCAAAAAAGAAATGAGGGAAATTAGAAATTGGATCATAAAAACAGTAATTATAAACGAATTATTCGTTGATGATGAAAGATCTTAATCTCATTTTAGAAATTCATAAACTAAATAGGCTTCTAAAATTGTTACACTTTAAACACACTATGTATATCTTCTGTGTTGTGTTTACGGTGAAACGGAGAGCGTAAATTTGTGTACGTGGTGCAAGCAGGAATAATGTGATGAAT